CATTTCATGAATCTGCAGTCTCACTGCTCGATACTGGGCCATTTAGAAGTTAAATCACTTTTGATTCAGTTCATGCAGATCTAACAATTCGTCCCCTAGTTGTGACTGACACAATATACATGTGTGCAATCTACCACACTTACACACACACACAAACCAACATGGCCAATAATAAAGCTAGTACGCGGGAGTACACTCAAAGAACTTCAAAAAAAGACATATCATGCTGACAACTCTTAGCTACCATTACCAAACCTTTCTCAATACATCACAGTACTGATGACAAAGATCTTTTTTTTTTTTTTTTACCAACTGTACATTTATATTTTCATGCTTTCAGCAAATGAATTTCCTCCAAATATAGACACAATTAATACTGACAATGGCCCAAACCGAGGAAAGTCCCACCTACTCAAACTCCCAGGAAATAGCATGACACAAAATCGGAGAATGGCTTAATTGGCATGATGGCACTATGAGCACGTCAGCTGGCTGTTACGGTTTTTAGAGTGGCCCTTTAATATTTATAAACAACACAAATTATTACAAAAAATGAAACAAGCTTGTTCAGCAAATAAGTTGCTTGGGCACTTTATAATGAAGACACATTTACATTATGGAAATATAGGCGAGTGAGTAATGTGCGTAGAATGATTTACAAATGGGATAGAAATGTATAGAAAGAAAAGCAATCCCCTATCTTTTTAGGTGCTTCTATGCCTGTATGCAGAATCAAACATGCCATGCTGTCAGGCAGGTTTTAATCCATCACAGACTTTTAAGCACTTCTTTGGTAAAGAATCGGTTGTGTACCAGCTTGGCTTGAATGAGATTGTACTGCTAAAGCTGTGTGTTCCTATTTCATCCTGTGTGAGACAGGCTTGTGCAGTGATGTGGAAATTATGCAACTTAAAATGCACGTCAAATTTCCGATCTTTACGTGAGTGATTCTGATGCACATGTAACATTTTAACCCCTTAAGGACCAAACTTCTGGAATAAAAGGGAATCATGACATGTCACACACGTCATGTGTCCTTAAGGGGTTAAAGTAATAGTAAAGTGCAATCAGTTGTGTATGATCATGTTATGATGTGATGATTGTAACGCCAGTATTATAATTTTAAGTGATTTGATTGCTTGAATAATGACGCAGAGGAACCTGCGTTACTTGCCACTCCGGAGTGGTTCAATAATGAAGCAGAGCAGACATTATTGATGTCACTTTGAGTGATCTATAATGACGTAAAAGGGTAGAGCAGGACACAAATAGATTAACACAAATAAAACAGACGTATAGAGTTTTTATAATTTCCATTTGTTTCCGATGCGATCAGGCTGATACCATTTTGATACCCTGCCACAGGAAGTAATCAAACCATTTAACCCCTTAAGGACACAGCTTCAGAAGTAAAAGGCCAGCATGATAGAAAGTATCCTTAACGGGTTAAGAAAGGTTTTTACAGCTTACGTGGGGTCCACCAGTTACCTCTGCTCTTGGCAGTTCCTGCGCTGAGCAAAGCCTGATGGTGCAGGGATGTGCTCATTGGCTGACAGGGCTCAGCTGATGCTCTCTGACAATGAGCTGGCCCCTGAACAGCAGCTCTTTGTTCAATGGAGCAACGTGCAGCAGCTGGCTCCAAGAAGAGGTGCCGTCAGGTGCCCTGCAGGTAAACAGTCAAACCATTCTTAAACATTTTGGTAACCTGCTGAGGGTGGGTACCAGGGCTGTCCTGGCACCATAACCACTACAGCGGTTACAATGTGCTTCTTGCTTGCAAAACTAATTCTAATATGCCAGGGAGAGGTCAGAACACAGAAAAGGAATGCATATACATACACTATCTTAAACATACATAAAGAGTAGTTTCATATTCATGGGCATTCTTTGAGACTTGTATGCTTATCTTTTTTTTATTTACCCTCAGTGGTCCACCATCAAATTGTATTGCTTTGTATGTGAGAAGCTGTTGGCTACATATAGCTCTGGCTAACTGCTCTAAAGCATGTGGCACAAGACCTCTTTATCGAAAATCCATATTGTGCCACCAATTTTACCGCATTTTAAAGGGACACTATAGTCACAAAAATAACTTTAGCTTAGTGAAGCAGTTTAAGTAAATACATCTCACTTCTCAATTGTCTGCAAGTTAGAAGTTAAATCACTTTTGTTTCTGTTTATGGAGCCCAAACCATGCCTCCTGTGACTCACACAGCCTGCATAGAAAAAACTTCCTTTTGACATTTATATCTCCTGCTTTGTAAATTGAACTTAAATTGCACACAAGAGGCTCCTGCAAGGTCCAGCAAGCTATTAATAGTGCAGGAGATAAGAAATTCTAAATTAAACAGACTGTGCAATAAATGAAGTGTAAACATTAGATCTCACATTACGTAAAAGTGTTCAGTAATTTTGTGCATGTTACATACAGTGAGGAATAAGTATCGCTGCATAAACAAAGTGATTTAACTCCTAAATGACAGAATTGAGCAGTAAGACTGTAGGGGCATAATCTATACACCAAAACTGCTTCATTAAGCTAAAGTTGTTTTGAGATGTGGCGGGGCCTGACTACCATGCCAGACAGACACATCCTAAGTGAGCTCCGGCATATCACTGACTTTAACGTTATATTCTTGTAGATTAAATTCCCATCAACGATTCCAGCTGCTTCTATGGGGCTCATAGTTCGACTTGGGCTATACCTGAGCTTGTTCTGTTTCCATTTAGTGATCATGCTTTTATAGAGCTGCTGGCTGGCTTTGCAGCCTAGTGCATCAAGAGGAGTGGAGAAGTGGCAGTTCTCCACTCCCAAACTGAGTTGCTGTTCGGTACCCCTCTTTTGGACTAGTGAGTGTAATCTGGATCTGCTTCCTGGCGGCTCCCTTGCTATGCTGAGAGCACGTGTCATTATTGGTGTAAACGAAAAAAGGTGCAACGACACATATAATATCGCTGACACCGCCTCCTTCTCTGATCTCTGGAGGAAAATTCTGAAATAATGCACAAATTGAATAGATTCTTCAAGTCTTTTTGGGCAGAGCTGGCAACTCGACAGAGACCCGCAGCTCCAGGTGACTCCACTAATACCTTACCTAAGAGTCACACAACAAGAAACTAATTTAATGGCACAAAACCAAACAGTCTGACAGATTTTTGGCGATTAGGCATCATAAAGATAGCCAAGATAATGTCAAAGGCATCACGAAATTCAGTTAGCCCATTATACAAAGTGTTAATTTGACTTCCTCACAAGAATTTTTGGTGATGTAATTGCGCCATCTACTGACCAAAATCTAGATGATAGTCTGTAGGCAAGACACACCCACCTTACTCTATTGGTCACTGAAACTAAAGATTTAAAGGAAGATTCTCCTTTAACAATTAAGGACAAAAGGAGAAAGGGATCGTAGATCTAACATCTGGAGCAGGAACGAGGACACACCTAACTTTTTGCATCTCTTCAAATTAATTTTGGGACTCCAACACTTGTCTTTTTCAGACTGAAACTTTGAAATATTCTTAATCAAAATCTGAAAACTTTTCTATTTCCCACAATTCTCATTCATACTTGCATTCACCACTTTGATGGAATACATCTCCAAGACTAAAAGAAATTCTACAAAAAGAAGCTAGTAATTATACTGGTTTTATTTAATTTAAATTAAATTAATTTTACTAAAACAGAAATATATCTGGATACAAGGCTGGTCAGATTTCAACTAATATGAAATCATAGTTAGCTAATGAAATATATTGTTCCAAATTCTTAACTGTAGAAAGAAGATGCGATTAATATATTTACTGGTAATTTGCCAAAAATAGCTGATCAGCTATTAACCAGAGATATTGACTTATATAGATTAGGGATAGTCCTCTTTAATTAGGAAAGTTAAAATTCTGCAAACATAAAATCTGGTTAAAATTATTCTTATTGATCTTTGGATGAAAAGGAAGGGTTAACTGATCTGGTATGATAATTATAGTATTTGTCATTGCAATGTAAAATGTATTTTGCCTGTGAGAATTGTGGCCAGCAGTAAATAAGTTAATTAACTCAGTGTGATTTGACTGTCAGCTAAAGTATATAGGTTTATGCTGTGCTGCTGTGAAGCGTCCTGTGCTAAGGAATGTTTAGCAAGCTGATTTCAAAGAGAGTGTCCTGTCGTAAATCTGTTGAAATTTGCATCTATGTGGATATGTTGCTATTGCTATAGGAACTGTGTTAGCTGCCATATTGTTACATAGCTTCAGTTACAGCCTTCCTCGCATTTGTTTTTTGCTGTTGATCCAAAAGAAGGCAAAAAACCCAGTCTGAAGCAATTCCAATTTTGCAACAAACTACGAAAAAAATTCCTTCTTGATCCCAGAATGGCAGTCAGATTTATCCTTGGATCAAGCAGTTGTAGCCCGCCTCTGCACTTTTTCTAGTGCCATAATATCCTTCTTTAGAACAGGTGCCCAAAATTGCACAGCATATTCAATATGGGGTCTTACCAGTGATTTATAAAGAGGCAAAATAATATTCTCGTCCTGAGAATGAATGCCCTTTTTCATGCATGACAATACCTTACTTGCCTTGGCCACTGCGGATTGACATTGCACATTGTTGCATAGTTTGTTGTCTATAATAATTCCAAGTCCTTTTCGTGTGTTGTTATCCCTAATTCGCTTCCATTAAGGGTATACGTTGCTTGTGTATTCTTTACGCCGAAGTGCATAACTTTGCATTTTTCAACATTAAATTTCATCTGCCATTTGAGTGCCCAGTCCCCAGTCTATCTAAATCCCTCTGCAGCAAAGTAATATCTTGCTCACATTGTATTATTTTACTGAGTTTTGTGTCATCTGCAAACACTGAAACATGACTTTCAATGCTGTCTTCAAGATCATTTATAAACATGTTAAATAGAAGGGGTCCCAGAACAGACCCCTGAGGGACACCACTTGCCACCTCTGTCCAGCTTGAAAATTTACCATTAATGACAACTCTTTGTACTCTGTTTTTAAGCCAATGTTCTATCCAAGAACAAGCATTTTCATCTAGACTGATTTACTTGAGTTTGAACACTAATCTATTGTGTGGAACTGTATCAAATGCCTTGGCAAAATCCAAATAGACCACATCCACTGCAACACCCTGATCTATACTTCTACTTACTTCTTCGTAGAACGCGATCAAGTTAGTTTGACATGACCTGTGCTTCATAAAACCGTGCTGATTTTTGCTGATAACCATGTTCTTCTCAAGGAATTCTTGAATATCATCCCTTAATAACCTTTCAAATATTTTCCCAGCCACAGAAGTTAAGCTCACAGGTCTATAATTTCCAGGAAAGGATTTTGAACCCTTTTTGAATATAGGAACCACATCTGCCTTCCTCCAATCCTCCGGAACACTTCCTGAAAGAAAAGAATCTTGAAAGATTAAAAACAGAGGTTCACTTATTTCTACACTTAGTTCCTTAAGTACTCGTGGATGGATACCGTCAGGCCCTGGAGCTTTGTTTAAATTAACTTTCTTTAGTTGCTGCAGCACCTTGTCTTGAGTTAACCAATTACAATTATCAAGTTTTTAGTAGCAATCACTTGAACATCTATTGCCATGGGTTCTTCCTTAATATATACGGAGGAGAAATAGTTATTTAAAATTCCTGCCTTTTCCTGGTCTTCATTAACTAACACCCCCGTTTCAGTTTTTAGTGTACCTACACTTTAATTTTGTTTTTTTTAGAATTTATGTACTTAAAAAATGCTTTGGGGTTGGTTTTGCTCTCTTTAGCTATAATTTTTTCATTTTGAAGTTTAGCAAATCTAATTGCCTTTTTGCATGCATTATTTGCTTCTTTATATCTTTTATAAGATGCATCTGATTTGTCCAATTTAAATGCTTTAAATGCCTTTTTCTCATTTTTAATCTCGTTTTACTTCTCTACTAGGCCACATTGGTTTTAATTTGTTTCTTTTATATTTATTACCCAATGGTACATACTGAGAAATGTACCTTTCTAATATTTGTTGGAACATGTTTTATTTATCCTCAGTGCTCTTTTCACTAAAGAGTTTATGCCAGTCAATATATTGTAAAGCTGCCCTTAACTTATTGAAATTGGCCTTTTTAAAATTATATGTTTTAGTATAACCCATGTGATTTAGTTTTTTTGAGTTTATTTAAAGGACACTATATTGTGATCACTATTTCCCAAGTGCTCACCTACTTGAATGTTGGTCAAAAGATCAACGTTGTTTGTTAAAACAAGGTCCAGACAAGCGTCCATTCTAGTTGGTGCTTGTACAAGTTGTGACATGAAGGTGTCATTTAACAAGTTTAAAAACCTAATTCCTTTTGCTGAGCTACTAGTCCCTCTGTCCCAATTTATGTCCGGGTAATTAAAATTTCCAATAATTAAAGTATTACCAGATTTGCAGCTTTCTCAATTTGCTCAAACAGCTGTTGTTTCTCGTCAATATTAACATTAGGTGGTTTATAACAAATCCCAACCAATAGTTGGTTTCCCTTCTTTTGCCCCAAGCACATATTTACCCATAAAGCTTCCACATTTTCCTTATTGCATTCCACTTGCTTAAGAGTTGGCTTTAAATCATGGTTGACATACAAACATACCCTACCACCCTTCTTGTTTTTCCCTATCCTTCCTAAATAACTGCCCAGTCATGTGTCTCATCCCACCATGTTTCAGTTATGCCTATTATATCATATTGTTTACTGGATGCTACTGCCTCTTGTTCCCCCATTTTGTTATTTAGGCTCCTTGCATTAGTAAGCATACATTTAATATCATGAATCACTTGTACTTTTTGTGAATTATCAACATTACATACCTTCTCTGTTCTGAGCTTGCTCCTCCCCTGTCTCCACCCCCCTTATACTGTGCTAAAGCCCATCTCCTTTCTGTCCTATCTTCATTTTGTAGATTGCTATGACCCTCCCCCCACTACAATAGTTTTATTGTATACTTATGTTATACCTAAATATTTACAGATTTTTGTCACGCATGTTACATATTATTATTGTCACAATAAATTATATTTTTATAATTAGTTTGTGATTAAAATGTGAACTACAAATCCTCTAAAAAAAAAAAAGTAGTCCAGGGTCAATAAGAGTTAAAAATAGTGGGTAGCTCTTAGCTTTAAATTAATCAAGAGGAACAGTGCCAATATATACATTTTGGATATAATAAAAATTATTAAATTAATTTTTGATCATTTTTATGAAAATATTATTTTTAATATTTATCACCCCATAAATAGCCTCACAATATGTACTTACAAGCAACTTTTCACTAGACTAAATACTTTAAGCCTATAAATATGACTTCATTTCTCTCCTAAACATATGATTTATAGGTCTATCCCTAATTCTATTACTTTGTTTAAAAATAATTAGTGGCATAGCGTTTTCTTACTTGTGTTTACATACTTATTTACGCATGTAATGTGATTCTCCACTCAATAAAAATATGGATTACAAAGAAAAAAAAAAACAGTTGTTTTGGTGACTATAGTGTCTTGTTAAGGTACAGAGCTAATGCACGCACATGTAGAGTCATAAAGTCATACACAAAAACAGAACATTCAGGTATAATGGATGGCCTGATCCTCTTGATCTGTTTTGCGCAAGCCACAAGGTCGTGGCACCATTTTGTGACTGTTTGCAATGTACACAGGCATCACTGTATTGTGTGTACCTGTAGTATACAGATATTTACCTGGCCGATCAAGATAACCTTTTGTTGTCAGAGTGGACTTGCACAGGGGAGGAAGAAGTAGTGTAATGAATCACATGGTAACCAGTTCTTTCCTTATTGTTCTATTTGCCCAGTTCAGTATTCCCATTGGCGAAAATGTTTGTGCAGTGTTTTTTTTACTGTATGCTGTGGTCTATGTAAGCTGGTTGTTTTTCTACAATAACCTATCGTTTATTCCTTTGAGTTGCCAAGAAGAAGCTTGTTTTGTCTCTTCCTTGAGGTCTCACAGGATATTGCTATTCATTGTCCTCTAAATAAGAGTATGGCCAAAGGACTAGATAGATACAATATCCTATAATAACCAGACACCAGTGCAGTATATCCTGCATTGCCGATGCCTACGCTACCAAAGATAAGTCACTGCATTTAGAGGATAATTTAGTGGTGCAGGCTATGTAAAAAGAAACCCACTGATGATAGTGCGCCTGAACTGTTACACTTTCGGTAGTAGAGACACCAGGTCTATATTGTCCCAACAGGGTAAGGTCAGTGAAAAAAAAAAAAAAAAAGAAAAGCCCATTGTAAATCGGTCCACATTCTACAAACCAATGTATTGCTTTCTCTGATGCTCTTACCTCTGAAAGTTTCCTAGAATGTTTTGACGTTAATCCAAACCATAGCACTAAAAGGTATGTTTCTCAAAAAGAAAAAAGGCAGTCATGTTGGTTATTCTTTCAATCATTCTTTAATACAAAGTTTATATATCTACATACATTGTGGCGTAGTAACCACATTTATTTTCCAATCCAAATTACAGTTGGGAAGAGGCAGCATTTTTACTCTTTACAATAAAACAAAATATGATTCCCCTAGAAGCTTGTGCATTTTAGACAATGGTTTCAGATGGGATAGGTGAGTTAGGAAAGGCTATAATGGAATGGAACCCACTGAGTGTAAAACGCGTGTACTTCCAAGTCTGCACGTTGAACTCATGGAAAATGCCCCAATACTCTAAATCACATTGTTTTTTTAGAACCTTCCATATTTTATATTAGATTGCTTCAACCTTGGGGTTGTCTACCTGCAGTGATGTTACTTTGATTAAATTTTACTATTAGTTATTTGTGGGACAGGAAGTAAAATTACGCCGTTGTGTGACTGCATATAAAATTAGTTAATGTGTTCCTGCATTATACCCGTTCCTGTTAATGTTGATACAATAAATCTAAATGATTAGTGAGGATTATGTTTTGGTTTTTTTGAGATTGGTTCAGAGCAAAGTTTCATGTGACTTCCCCTCCCCAAGACCTTTAGAAAATAGACCTCTGTTTCACCGAGATAGTAATTTCTGTAATAAAATAGTCCCTTGCATCCTTGCGATTATTCACTCCCAGTGGAAAAGGCTCTTTAAGTTACCATTGGACGTGGATAATTTGGATGGAAAAGCTTGGGAACCTCACTAACCCAGTCCGAGGGGCACAGGAGAACTGTCTGGCTCATCCCTTTCTATTGTAGAAAAGACATATGATGAGGAGCAACTAGCACTGTATAACATAGTAGGCGACACGCATTACATCTCTACAGTGAAAAAATAGACTGTCTTTGAACAGAATATGAACAGTAGCACATCTCTTCATTTCGACATAAATTTTTAAAAAAAAGGAAAAATACAATATAAAAAAAAGGGCTTGGGTTTAATGTCACATAATCGGATACAGATACAATGATACTTTAAAGCAAGCTACTGGCATACACTCAAAACATCTCTCCGAAGTATTATACAAGCGGCACTTTGATTCGGGACGCACTGTATCTTGGACATAGAAATACACAATATTGGACACTGTCTTAGAATAGTTGGAAATCAGCATCCTACGAGTTAAAAATAAAATTCCTGTCCTTTATCTCTCAGATGTTTACTGTGGATATTAGAAAGTAACTATTGATATTGTGAAATGAAGCATCTTCTAGGAGAAATAAGAGAAGCAGGATTTGGTAAGCTGGACTCCCCTGAAAGACCACAGCAAAGATGGGAGTGGGTAGCTAGCAATATCCTAATATAATTGAGAATAGTCAGCATTTGAACGTAAGGAATGTTGCAAGTCAGAGGCAAGAAGAGTGAGCTCAGAAGGTCAATGGTAATGTTTCCATGCCGTGGTTTGCACCAGAGGCCTATTTAATTTCAGTTTCTGTCATAAAACCGGTAAGGGCTCCTGGTTACGTTAAGACACTAACTTAAAGAATTCAGAAGCGGTTTTGTTCAAGAATATTTCTACTTTAAAAGACTGAAAATAACAAGAACCGTGAGGATGCAACATAAGTCTCCACTCTCCTTCCGTGAAAGATAGTAGACTTTGCTGAGAGTACCACTACTGGTGGTTGAGGTCCACATGTATCCAAGAACACTGCTTGAGGTATCAGTCCAGAAGCAGCCTGAAATAGACGTGACCTTACAAGTCCTGAAAAGTATTCTCCACGTCATAAAGTTCCCAA